TTATTCGCTCTATTCGCAACGCCAGAAGAAGAGGAAGGTCGGCGAAATATATGGACGGGAAAATTTAATTAGGTTAAAAACGTACTGACGTCCATGAATTGGGAGTGTTTTTTCAAGGGGCATTCAGAGGAGGACTGGAGATCGTTTAAGACGGTTTTACCAGATATAGTTGAGCACTGTAGTCTAGCAAAAGTATAAAAGACTACTGGTCGTCCTGCCTTGTTGGCAAGAGACTTGATCAAACACTTAAAAAGAGAAATAACAAATGGGAGTTATTGAGGCAAACTGGGTCACCAGTAAACTTCGACAGGCAGAAAATATGCCGAACCTTTTATTTTGTCGTATTATTTGTCGAATAACAAAACAAGGATCCAGTGGCACTACTTAAAGATGATAATAACGTAGAAGTCGTTGAAAATGACAAAAAAGTCGAGTACTGCGGCCGGTTTTTTTGCCTCCTTATTCACCAGGGAACCCAAGCTTCAGATTCACAATGTCAACAATGCTGTTGAAAACGTTGGTCCAACGGCTAGCTCAGTCGATAGAGCATGAGGCCCTTAATATCGAGATCATGAATTCGAGGTCCACGTTGAGCATCGACGTTTAGGGTCTTCAAAGACATTACCTACTACCCTAAATATACTGAACCAGCACTTTAATCTCTTTTCTTCTCGGCATATGTAGTGAAAAGGGTGCCGCAAAACCTCAAAGAAGCAAAGTCATCCAGTCCAGACAAGAAACTGACAAAATGTTTTCAAGGAATTTGCGAGCGAACTCTTAAAACCACTTACGCATGTCTTCCGTTTGTCAGTTGAGTTAGGGAACTTGCAGTACGAATGGAATACGGCAAATATACACCTGATTACGGGGTTAGGGCTCGAACGAAGGTCAACAGTTACCGGTCCGTCAACCTAACTTGCATTTGTTGTAAAATAATGTACACTATAATTACTAAGGTGACAATGCAGTTCCCGGTGGAGAATAACTTAATCTCAGGGCTTCAACACAGCTTAAGACAGAGCCACTCTTGTATTTCCAGCCTATTGCTCTCGACCGAGCAGTGGACTCGCGCACTAGAAGATGACGTCATTTACACTGATTGACGTCATTTACACTGATTTCAAGTTATTTGACTGCGTCCCATATAAACGTACAATCTTTAAATTATCTGAAATTAGAATGCGAGAAAACCTGCTGAGATGGATTACAGATTTTCTCATTAAACGATCGCATACTGTGTGAATCAGTGCCTCGAAGTCGACCCCTGTCACTATTATAACCAGTGTTATCAAGACCCCATCTTAGGGTCGATGCTCTTCCACAATTATATCACTGGCTCTGTCGACAATTTGGGTTGCAGCGCCATCATGTTTGCTGTCGATCTCAAACTCTGGAGCTTCATCAGGACTGATGCCGAGAAGCTAGCACTTCAGGAGTCTCAACCGACTTCGTAGCCGGACTGTTTGTTGAATCCTAAATATCAACAGTAGTAAATTTGAGATTTTAAGACTCCGTACTAGAAGGAACAATGTGGAGGATAATGCCTTCCAATAACTCCTGGGTAGGCCACCCCTTTAAAATGTTGAGGGATAGAAAGACCTCCTTGTTCTAATAACCTCCTTACTTAAACCATCTTTGCGGTGTCTTAAGGCAGCTAAATGCATGACATAGGTTTTATTTGAGCCATGACCAGAAGTTGTTCACACCGACAAGGGACTGATCAGAAAAAACGACGGAAAATTCCTTAGGTCCCACTTGGAGTATATATTCCATGCATGGCGTCCATGGATCAAGAAGGATTATCTGCAGCTGACACAAGTGCAAGCGAGTGCTACGACGATGGCTAATAATCTTTGTAATCTGCCTTACGAAGTCAAACTAATTCAACTAGATTTGCTTCCTCCCGATTAGAGGCAGCTACGCGGTAACTTCATTCTAACTGACTGAATTTCCAGTGGTTGTGAGTGCGCCTTAAGTCACTTTAGGTCACTTTATAAAGGGAAGAAGGCTTTCGCCCTTGAGCTCCCTATTAATATCCAAAAATTGCAACGGAGTTCAACCTTAACAATAATACATGATACAAATGTAGGCTTAACATCAGCGATAGGTGTGAGCTCGTTGCAAACTGCTGCAAACTTGCATGTTCGCTTGTATTGACACTATGCTCATTATATGTGTCACAGTTTCTCAGCAAAGGTGAATCAAGTTGGCGTTTAAATGTCAACAATACCTGAGAGGACCACCTCGTCAGAGAGTCCATTCCACGCTCCGAGGACCCTCCGTGAGAAGGCGTTCCGTCGAACGTCCATATGGGCCGACTTCCTCTGCAGTTTAAATGGATGACGCCGCAGATGATCCGTCCGAGCCAATTCGAAGAATTCGTCAAGTG